GAATGAATGATAAAAATGGATGAACAAAATCATTCTGAATCTGAATTGAATGAAATGAATGAATAATAATGAAAAATTGAAATTAAATGAAAAACGTGAAATGAACGAAATGAATGAAATGAATGACATGAATGAAATGAAATGAAATAAAATGAAATGAAATGAAAAGAAATGAATGAATGAATGAATGAATGAAATGGAATGGAATGGAATGGAATGGAATGAATGAATGAATGAATGAATGAAGTGAAGGTAGAAAGGAAGGAATGAATGAATGAATGAATGAGCCGTTTATTCGATGAAAGGAATGAATGATATGTTCTGAATTAATTTTATAAAAATAATTATGTCAAATCATGTAACAATATAAATTTGACATGAATCAGTTAATCGAATGAAAGAGTAAAATGAATGAAATAATAAATGAATGGATAAATAAATGCATAAAAAGATTTATTGATTGAATGAATGACTGAATGAATGACTGAATGAATGAATGACTGACTGACTGAATGAATGAATGGATGAATGAATGAATGACATGAATGACATGAATGAAATAAATGAGATGAATCAAACGAGTGCATGAATGAATGAATAAATGAATGAATGAATGAATGAATGAAGGAATGAATGAAAAAAAGAAATAATGAATCAATGAACGAACGAATGAATGAATGAATGAATGCATGAATTCAATGAATGCATGACTGAATAAATGAATGAAGGACTGAATGAAATGAATGACTAAAAAAATAAATGAAATGAATGAGATGGATGAAATGAATGAAAAGAATGAAATTATTGAAATGAATAAAGTGAATGAAATGAGTGAAATGAATGAGCTGAATGAAATGAATGAAATGAAATGGAATGAATGGAATGAATGAACTGAATGAATGAAAATGAATGAATGAAATAAATGAAATCACATGAGTGAATGAATGAAATGATGAACATTAAATAAATAGACCCGAAATGAAATGAAATGAACGCAAAGGACATGAGTGAATCACACAAACAATGAAATGTAGTAAAGGAATGACATGAATGAGATGAACTAACTGAATGAATGAACACATGAAATGAAATGAAATGAAATGGAATGAAATGAAATGAAATGAATGAAAAGAATGAAATGAATGAAATGAATGAATGAATGAATGAATGAAAGAAAGAAAGAAAGACTGAATGAATGAATGAATGAAATGAAATGAAATCAAATTAAAATAAATGAAGTGAAATAAATGAATGCATGAATGAATGCAATGAAATGACTGACTGACTGACTGACTGACTGAATGAATGAATGAATGAGATGAATGGCATGAATGAAATGAATAAAATGAAATAATGAAAGAATGAAAGAATGAAAGAATGAAAGAATAAATGAACGAATGAATGAATGAATGAACGGATGAATGAATGGATGAATGAATGAAAGAATGGATGAATGGATGAATGAATGAATGAATGAGTAAAGGAAGAAATGAAATGAGTGAAATGAATGGAATGAATGAAATGAATGAAATGAATGTCATGAGTCAAATGAAATGAAATGAAATGACATGAAATGAAACGAAGAAAGAAAGAAAGAAAGACTGAATGAATGAATGAAGGAACGAAATGAAATGAAAATAAATGAAGTGAAATAAATGATTGCATGAATGAATGCAATGAAATGACTGACTGACTGACTGAATGAATGGAATGGAATGGAATGGAATGGCATGGCATGGAATGGAATGGAATGGAACGGAACGGAACGGAATGGAATGCATGAATGAATGAATGAGTGAATGAATGAATGACTGACTGAATGGAATGAAATGGAATGGAATGGAATGGAACGGAACGGAATGGAATGAATGAATGAATGAATGAGTGAATGAATGAATGACTGACTGAATGGAATGAAATAGAATGGAATGGAATGGACTGGAATGGAATGGAATGGAATGACATGAATGAATGAGTGAATGTGAGTGAGTGAGTGAATAAAAAGAAATGATTAAATGAATAACTCAATCAATGAATGACTGAAATGAATGAAATGGAATAGAATGAAATGAAATGAACTGAATGAAATGAATGAATGAAAGAATGAATGAACGAATGAATGAATGAATGAACGAATGAATGAACGGATGAATGAATGGATGGATGAATGAATGAATGAATGAATGGATGAATGGATGAATGGATGAATGGATGAATGGATGAATGAATGAATGAATGAATGAATGAATGAATGAGTAAAGGAAGACATGAAATGAGTGAAATGAATGGAATGAATGAAATGAATGAAATGAATGACATGAGTGAAATGAAATGAAATGAAATGAAATGAAAATGAAATGAAACGAAATGAAATGAAATGAAATGAAAGAAATAAAGAAAGAAAGGATGAATGAATGAATGAATGAAAAGAAATGAATAAATGAATAACTCACTCAATGAATGACTGAATGGAATGAAATGGAATAGAATGAAATGAAATGAACTGAATGAAATGAATGAATAAATGACTGAATGAATGAATAAATGAATGACTGAATGGAATGAAAGAATGATTGATTGAATGAATGAATGAATGAATGACTGAATGCAATGGAATGGAATGGAATGTAATGAAGAAATGACATGAAATGAGTGAATGAATGAATGAATGAATGAATGATATGAATGAAATGAATGAAATGAATTATATTAAATGAAATTTGAAATGAAATGAAATGAAATGAATGAACTGAAATTAGCAGCATGAAATGAATGAAATGAATGAGATGAATGGAATGAATGAAATGAATGAAATGAAAAAATGAATGAATGAATGACATGAATGAAATGAATGAAATGAAATGAAATGAAATGAAATGAAATGAAAGAAAGAAAGAAAGAAAGGATGAATGAATGAATGAATGAATGACATGAATGACATGAATGACATGAATGACATGAATGAATGAATGAATGAATGAATGAATGAAAGGAATGACAGTAATGAATGACAGGAATGAAAGGAATGAAATGAATCAAATGAATGAAATGAATCAAATGAATGAAATGTATGAAATAAATGAAATGAACAGCATGAATGGAATGAATGGAATGAATGGAATCAAAAGAATGAATTGCATGAAGTGATGAATGAATGGATGGATGGATGCATGAATGAATGAAAGAATGAATGAAATGAATGAATGGATGACATGAATGAAATGAATGAAATGAATGAACTGAATGAAATGAATGAACTGAAATGAACAGCATGAAATGAATGAAATGAATGAAAGAAAAAATGAAATGAATAAAATGAATACAATGAATGAAATGAATTGATTGATTGCTTGATTGAATGAATGAATGAATGGATGGCTGACTAAATAACATGGATGAAGGAATGAATGAATGAATGAATGACTAAATAACATGAATGACATGAATGAATGAATGAATGAATGCATGCATGCATGCATGCATGCATGAATGAATGAATGAATGAGTGAATGAATGAATGACTGAATGATTGAATGACTGAATGACTGAATGACTGAATGGAATGGAATGGAATGAAATGAATGAATGAGTGAATGTGAGTGAGTGAGTGAGTGAGTGAGTGAGTGAATGAAAAGAAATGAATAAATGAATAACTCACTCAATGAATGACTGAATGGAATGAAATGGAATAGAATGAAATGAAATGAACTGAATGAAATGAATGAATAAATGACTGAATGAATGAATAAATGAATGACTGAATGGAATGAAAGAATGATTGATTGAATGAATGAATGAATGAATGGATGACTGAATGCAATGGAATGGAATGGAATGTAATGAAGAAATGACATGAAATGAGTGAATGAATGAATGAATGAATGAATGAATGACATGAATGACATGGATGACATGGAATGAAATGAATGTATCAATCAAAGAATGAATGCATGAAATACTGATTGAATGAATGACTGGCATAACTAATCTATTTTTTCAGGTTTTGATAAAATTTAATTCGGTAAGTTCATAAAATCATGAATTCCCAGACTTCCAAACCACCAAACCGCCAGGTAAGCACAACCTGAACTTCAGAACAACACCTCAAAAATGCATCAATAATAAGTACAAATAAAAGTACAAATAATACCTATATGAATTATCCAATCTTAAGATCCAGTCAAAAATAATACCAAGAATACCTCATGGATTATATTATATATATAATTACATGGGTTGTAAATCATTTACCTACTGGACTGCATCCACCACAGGACACCCCAACCGCAACGGCAACGGGTCGCTTAAAACAGTTCTGAGTCCCTGGGCCGGTCTTCCATGGGAACCTCATCGTGGTCGTCAAAGCATGTGAGGGTAAAGCAATGGTACCCGTTGATGGTTACCATCTGGTAAACATACAAAAAACTATGGAAAATCACCATTTATAGTGGATTTACCCTCTGGTAATGACTGTTACATAGCTATTGAAGCCATGGCCCATAGAAATAGTTGATTTACCGAACTTAAAGATGGTGGATCTTTCCAGTTCGTTTTTTGTATGTTTACCAGAGGGTACCATATTTTACCAATGACTTTCCAGTAAAGTCAAAGTGGGAAAAAATAACTCACTTTTAATGACTTTCCAGTTCGTGTTGTCACAATTTCTTGCTGAACCATTGTAAGAAACTCCCAGAGAACCATTTTACTGAAAGCACCTGGATGTTGACCCGCCTGAAGGACCCCGAATTTTCCACGCGCCCGAAGTGCATTCGGCTAATCTACATGTGTTCATCTACGATCAGGGGCCATGAAATGAAAGCTGGCTTGGAATTCGAACTGAATGTTTTTACTGATTATAGAACTATCAAGAACTATCTATAGTTCCATCTAACATCATCTAACTGCTCTTTCACACATTTCAAATCATTTCAACCTCACAAAACACTTTCACAAAAAACACAAAAAGTCACCTCAACCACCAATTATGGCCCCCCTATCATCTACCAGATCAGCCACCAGAGACAGCTGAACGTCAGCACTGCGCTCAAAGAGACGCCGCGTGCAGCGTTCATCCCTGCGCGCAGCTTACAGGTGGTCTCAGCTGGATCCATGTCGCATTTGCCCTCCACGGTGCAGATACACGCCTCGGCCGTGGGAAAAATGGTCGGTGGGCGCCGTCTCTTTGGGGAACGTCAAAGGAACGTCAAAAAGGCATCCGATTTCGGCGGAAAGATCGGAGAAAAAAAGGAGAATCTTGATTGAACATCATCCAAATACAAGTCAGAAACCCAACAGAAAAAAGGCCTGATTTGTTTGGGGAGCACCCTTCAAATGGTAACGTACGCCAGAAACGTGTCTTTCGAAAAAACTACGGGAAAACCTGGGATATGCATCCCAGTTACTACAGTAAGTGCTTCATAACCATATTATAGCCACTAGGGAACACCCCCCAGTTATATGTGGGCTAGGAAAATCACTCGATAACTGGGAGGCATTGATTTTCGAAACCGGTTTCCTCAATGCTCGTGAAAAATGAACGTAAAGCTCTCGTAATCATTGCCCACTGAAATACTCAAATCACGGATCTCCCTAAAAATGGAAAATTTGCAGGATTTACCCTCTGGTAATTTCAAATAGACCCTATATTAAAGTGATTGACTTTTCTATCCCCAAAGATATACAGTATCACCATGTTTTTCCATCCACAAAAAATGAAATATCACCGATGTGAACCTCGTCCATAGTGGGTTAGGTTAGATGATAATCCCCATCAGAACAGGTTCAATCCTACCTTTCCATGTGTACATGTCCCCATGTTATATATATATATACATATATATATATTATGTGAATCATACCATTTGCTGCACCCTTAGCCTTGTTGCCTTGCGGAAGCCCAGGACTTTCAACACAGTTTCCCATCAGAATGCATCTGATCCGGTAGCACCTTTACAGGCTCAGGGAGCCCCATTTTCAGGACAGTGGGTAGGGAAGGGATTCAGTGCTTGGCCATTTAGCTTTGGTAGGGCGAGGCGCCCTTTGGAAAGACTGATAGGGATCAGCCGCATTGCAGGTGGCATAGAAGCTGGAATCATTTACCATTGCCTGTTTTTGGGCGTTGTGAAACCTTGGAGCCTTGCGATCGTGGAAAAGGTCGCTGTGTTGAGAAGGAGCTGCCAGTGGGGTTGGACATCTCTTGTCAACCACACTGGTAGCGGAGCTACCGCAAACCAGAAAGCCTGAGCGGACATCCGGGGAAAGACCTTTGTTGATCTCCTTTTGTGCTGCCTAGGCGTGTACCGAAATAGACATGTCAGAAGCATCGGATGGAACAGACGCCTCCCAGCCGATTTCGAATCAGTTGGCATCGTTGGTGCCCACATTCGACCCAAGCAAGGATGACCTTCAGGTTTACTCCCAGAAAGTGATGCTGCTGCTTGAAGCATGGCCAACAGGTAGGTATACAGAACTTGCCACCAGGCTCATTCTGAATTGCAGCGGTTCAGCCTTCAAGAAACTCCAGTTGCATCAAGATCAGATCACCAAGAATGATCGAAAATGCATCGCCAAAATCGTGGAGCTCCTAGGAGGACACTGGGGACAGATAGACCTAGAACAGAAGTATGAGCATGCTGAAGGAGCGCTCTTCAAATGCCAGCAGAAGTCGGATGAAAGTGCAGATTCGTACTTAGCCCGTGCAGACATCATGTGGACTGAACTGACGAATCAGCAACTAAAACTTGAGGATTTGCAGGCCTACATAACCCTCCGAGGGTCAAACCTTTCTGCAGATGACAAGAAACGAGTTTTGGTTGACGCAGATGTGACTGATGGTGGATCGCTGACGGTCAAACGTGTTGGAGCCTCCATTCGAATGCTGGGAGCCAGTTTCTTTCATGAGATGACGCATGGAAAAAGGAACTCAAAACTGAAAACCTATGATCAGACGGCACTCCTTGCCGATGCCACCGAATCAGAAGATGCTGAAAATTTCACTTTTGCAGCCGAACAGATTGATGATGATGAAACCTGGATGGAGTCCCTTGTCCAAGAAGGAGATGAGGACGCTGTCCTGGTGTCAGATTTCGAAACAGCTGCTGTGGACCTTTTGCAATCTGATGAAGAGCTTGCGTCGGCATACACAGCTTATGCAGATGCTCGCAGGCGCTTGAACGAGAAGGTGCGATCGAGAGGTTTTTGGCCTATCCATGCAAAGGGAAAATATAAGGGTTCCAATAAAGGGGTAAAGGGTAAGTTCAGTAAAGGTCACGGCTCCTCCAGAAAGTCCCTGCAACAGAGGATTTTAGAGTCCAGGTGTAGGATCTGCAACAAGGTCGGCCATTGGAAGGCCGAGTGCCCGAATCGGACCGACTCTTCAGGAACCAATGCCAGGAGTCCACAAGCTCCTACGTCCTTTGTGCAAAGCACTCAGATGGAAGCCGAAGAAACCAACCTTGATGCCCTACCTATGGAATTCCTGATTTTGCCTCAAGCTGACATGGGAACCATAGATGAAGCTCAGCCTCATGTTAATGCACATGTTTTCATGACCATGAATGAGGAGAATCCCAAAAGAAAACTCATGAGAACACTGCAGTCATGGCAGAACAGAAGTTGCCGCAAACCTGTCTCCGTCAGGAATGATGACGACGTGACCGAGATCAGAGCTCGCCTGAGACAACATGCTGCCGAGCTGAAACGGTCACGACCTGAAGTGACTGAGGATTCTCCTGAGACTGCATCGGCATTCTTCGCATCACATGGTAGCTATGGGGTAGTAGACCTTGGGGCCACTAAGACCGTCATAGGAAGTCATAAGGTAGCCGAGTTAATTAACAGCTTAAATCCTTCACTTCGAAAACAGGTCACCAGGTGTGCTTGCGAGATCACTTTTCGTTTTGGCAATCATGGAGTTTTGCAAAGTAAACAAGCTTTGGTGGTCCCGATTCATGGTCTTTTGCTGAAAGTTGCAATCGTGCCGGGCGCTACGCCCTTCCTTTTGTCAAACACCCTGCTGAGAGCAATCGGAGCTGTGATAGACACAGAGAGAAAAGTATTGGTTTCTAGGAAGATTAGCCGAGAAGTGCCTCTCGTGCTGACCAGCAAAGGGTTGTTTCTTTTGGATTTGAATGAGCTAGCCCACCAAACTGGTGACCAGCCGCAATTCTCCGAGATGGCCGAGACACACACAACCACCTGTGTCTCCATGCCTGAACCGACATGCCCAGTAGAAAGTGCCAAAACCGCCGTAGCCAGTGAAGCTGAGGTCCCATGCACATGTCATGTTGAACATAAGTCAGTGAATAACCATGCAACCGATGTGAACACCTCCGTAATGCCACCACAGACAGCCCAGAAAGATTCTGAGCCTCAAACAAATGCGAATGAGCAGCACTCCAGGTCCAAGAGCCCATATCCAGGAAACGTATCCGTGCAAGCAGAAAGCAATGTCTCTGTCCAAACGCCTTCAGAGGGTGCAAGAGATCACCGAGCCCAGCAAGGAAGACTTCTCACAGTGGTCGATGGCCGATCTCGAAGTCTCAACCATAGACTTTGGGAAACAGCAAAAGGGCAAGACCTATGCCACGGTGTGGGAGGAGGAGCAACCGTGGATTACGTGGTTTGTCCAGCACTACGAGAAGTCTGCAAAGAGCTCTCACCAGAAGTTCATACACTACGTGAACCTCAAGGTAGAAAGGGCAGAACTCACGGGGACCAAGATCCCGGTGACGGAGAAATCAGAGGGCTATCCGACCATCAGCCCAGAGCAACAGGTGATCAATCGAAGCCGAATGATGGCCCGAGCCAAAGCCAAGGCAATGAGCCGTCATGTGACTCAGATCGAGTCAGACCTCTGGAACGAAGAAGAGGATCCTCTGATGTACGAGTTGATCAGCAATCCAGTGGAGACAGCTGGACCAGTGGCCGAAGAGCCGATCCCGTGCCCCAGCCAACTGGAGATGCGGGTCATCAACATGGAAAATGCACTGGCACGGGTGATGGACTTCCTGGAGCAGAATCACGCCAACCGGGAGAACCTCAACTGAGCGGCACTGAATGTCCAAGCATCACGGCTCAGATCTATGCAGGCGAAGCTTGTGCCGACTGTCTGCATGCTGAATCTCCGGCTCCTGAAACCAACAAAGAGAGGGGAATTTTCCTTAAACTATTAAATCAATATTCACAGGAACTTGAACAAGTGAATAACCAGAATAGTCAAAGGGGAAAAGTCTCGCCTCGGCTGGATGTTTTGGAAATGTTCTGTGGACCCAATAGCCAGTTAACTCACCAGTGCCAACAATTGGGGTTCAGAGCTCAACGTTTTAGCTTGCAGCAAGGGGACCTGCAAACCCTTGCAGGCCGAACAGCCTTGTTTACCAAGTTAGTCCAGGAACAACCGAGACATGTTTGGGCCAGCCCCTCATGTGGCCCGTGGAGCGGATTTTCAAGCCTGAATGGTAGCAAGTCGTTAGCAGCCTGGGATGACTTGCAAACCCTGCGGCTCAAACACCTTGAACAAATTGCTTTGTGTGTTGTAGTTTTTCGATATCAACGTCAACACCTTGGTCACTTTCATTGGGAGCAGCCGAGAGGGTCACTGATGTTCAAGTTGCCATACCTTCAGGAAATCTTTCATCACCTGTTAGCAGTTGACGTGGAGCTTTGCACGGCAGGTAACTTGCGAGATCCTTCCAATGGACTTCCAATTCGAAAACCATTGACAATTTTGTCATCATCCCAACACATGGTTGAGCAATTGTCATCACTCCGATGCCCTGGAAATCATGAACACCAAGTCATAGAGGGTCAAGTGAGGTATAAAGGGGAGACCATGAATAGATCTCAATACACGGAAAATTACCCCCGAAAATTTGCCAGAAGATTAGCCAATCTCATGTGCAAAGTGAAGTTCCTGAAGGAAGTTCCGTATCGCAGCCTGGAATGTCAAGTGTTTGCAGCAGATCACCCAGAAGAACCCTTGCCGAAGCGACCCCGCCTGTCGCAGACGTACAGGCCTAAGTTGAGCCGTGCCCGAGAGGTGAACTCTCTGCCCTGGGGAAAGAGAACCAAATGCACAGGTAAGACCACTCCAGTTGATGCCAAGGAACAATGGAATGAGATTTTTACCAAAGTAAATGAGATG